TCATGACTAATGATCAATATGGTAAAAGGTAAACTTAATGGTAGGCACCTTGAAATGCTTTGCCAATGAGGCTATTTCTATACTGGAATGCAGATGTTACCTTCCGGTGGGACAGGACTCAGGAATGATCAGGTCACTTCTCCAAAGTGAAGAAAGCTGCCTTTAAAGTCCAGTGTCATAGAAAATAGAAGATGTGAATGCTTTGATTTTTGATCAATAATATAATTATCTTTCTTTTTTTACTCTGCTGCCTTATGACAAGAGCACTAACTACTTCTTGTTGGGGAGTCAGGAAGGGAAGTAGTTCAAGGGAAAAAAAACCCACTTATCAGTACTGTTATGAACTAAACACCTCTATTTTTAACAAGGAAATATATATTGAATATATCTTTCTAAAGAAAAAAACCCTGAAGTATAAACCTTGGAGAAAATCACTAAATGCTGCAAGCCAAGCTTATGCAAATTGAAGAACCAGTATCTTCATCAATTCCACACTATCATTGTGACCCATTGTCATAGGAAGAATGACACATGATATGAAAGTGAATTTATACAAATGAAAGAAATCTTAGAATTAGATAGCTCAAAACTATAGTCACATGATGCTGAGTTTGTCTAATTCCTGGCATTTTTGAGGCCACAGTGGTTAATGCCTCTGTTTACTCTCAGAATCAGCATTTAACTTTTTAATAGTCCTGCCTCACTTCCTTCCAGAAGATAGGAGGATAAAAGGATAAAATCACTATTCATAGAAAGGAATCTTCCCTCAAAGCGTTTTTCCCTCCACCTTTGAGGGTGACGATATTGATTAGAATTAAACCCCAAATTTGAACAACTGTATATTAGGTCCTTAAAATGAATATCATTATAGAGGGAGACTAAAGCAGTGAAGTTAATTCTCTTTTATTTGTTAAACGGAGTTCCCTCCTTCCCCCACCCCTTCCTCCTTCTGGGCTGGCCTGTCACGCCTTCTCAACACGCTAAAATCATTCAGAGCGGCTTGCAGGGAGAAACACGACATTTATGGTAAGCGTCAGCCTTCAGAGAAAGAAAGCAGTTCATTAATTTACTTCACACTACTTCAAAGTATGAGAGTGTACCTTACACCCTTAATCAATAGATATGATGTACAGTCAATATCCCCCCACATGTTTAAAAGGGGTCAGAAATACACACTCTCACACCACAAACACCAACCTCAATTCTGCTCAATGGAATTTATACAAACGATAGAATCTGACTTTGGAGTTCAGTAAACCCCAGGAGGATTTTCTGACAACTCCAGAAGCTGTGATATACTCGAGGGTTCAAAAAGAACAATAAAAATATTTCCCCAGCCCAAACAAAAGTTTTTCCAGATAGTCTCATTTTAATAAGTTCCTCCTTAAAAATCACTTTCAAGAGCATTTGTAGTTGATTAAAAATACAAATTACTCTTTAAAGAAACATGAATATTCAACAGGGCTCTGTGGATCTTGGACTTTTTGCCACACCAGGGCTTTCTTCGGTTTAAGAAGTTCCCTTGTGGTGATATTGAAATTGTAATGCCATTTCTGAAGGCTACCAGTAACACAAATGGCAAACAAGCGAGTAAATCCTACCGAATTTGAACTAAGTGAATCTATTAACATGCACACGCACTCTTAGATCTCTGGCCCTAACGCCATTAGACACAGAAGCCTCGGTAAACATGGTCCAAGATTTGTCAAAAGCTTGTCTCTGTTTATAAAAAGAGTCCATAGATTTCAGTCAAAGTCTTATGTGTTCTTAAAGAGTCCATAGATTTCAGTCAAAGTCTTAATTTTTCTTTTCCCCTCCATAGGAGGCAGGGTTGTTTCCTGTGAAAACTTCCAAATTCTGTAAAATGCTCTATTTCTCACCCAAAGAAAAAAACAATGCCCTCTCACCCTCTTCTCTATCTAATCCTTTTGTACCGAAATTTACTCAACGCCACGGGACAAACACACCTCCTCCCCTACAGTGAGACGTGCACTTCCAAAGCAGAATCCGAGCTTAGAAAAAAAAGGAAAAGGGCCCTGCAGCGAACTAACAACTCTGGGGTGCAGGCACACACCCTTCTCCCCCAATTCATTTTTAAAAATACCCCTCAGCGTTCCAATCTTTCTACTATGTGACTGGAGAGCCAGGAAGGGAAAAGGTAGGTAGAACGACTTTTTTCTTTTTCAAAAAATACCGGACAATGTACAAGAAGTTAAGGGGAAAAACTCTGAAGATTTTAGGTACAAGGAGCCACAGGAAGCTGGCGACAGTGGTAGCATTTGTGACTCTTTATCTACTCAGCCTCACTCAACTTCACAGTCAATTTCCCTCTCCTATCACCATTCTCTCACACGTACTTACATTTTATTGCATTGTTCTTATTTCCCACCCCCAGCTCTGGTGCACACACACACACACGCGCGCGCGCACGCACACACCCCCTCCCTCTTCCGCACAAACACACATGGTCACATCCTTCTGCCCCCACACCACATGCACTCACACACCACCTCCCCCTCCCCCCCACCTTTATGGAACTGTCCCTTCTCCTCCCTAGTTTTGTCAGACTCACTCCATAGGACACTCACACCCTTTCCTTCAACATTTTACTGCTCTGTCCCTTAACCCCCTCTGTCGCACAGGCAGCTATATTGTCACGCGCAACACCCTCCCTCTTTCTGCATTCTACCCCCTTTCCCCCCTTACCGCTGTCACACTCACACGCCCTCTCCCTCCCTCCCGTCTCTGCACTGTCCTCTCCTCGGCTTGGTCACACTAGCACACGGTGACACTGTTACACACACACACTCACGCTCCGAAACACACGCAGCCACCCCTGCCCCCTCCCGCTCCCCACCCCCGCAGATTGGCTGGCCGCGCCTCCGCGGCACTTCAAAGCCGGAGAGGGAGCTACAATTGTGGTGGAATGGGCGGAACTGATCATTGTATTGCACACCTCTAAAAAAAACACTGCCTCTGATTTATCAATATAAAAAAGATCCTCTGAGAGGAGGAGGGCACTTTTGTGTGATGGCAACTTCACTTCTAGGGGTGAGTCTCAGGATTTTCTCTTGCTGGTTTAATTAGTTTCCTTTTATTGCCGATCGGAGGGGTTAAAGTCGCCCCGGCCAGGCCACGGGCTATCAGTCTCTCTATTGAGAGCTTTTTTTTTTTTTTTTTTCCTCCTTCTTTTAAATACAAGAGAATTTGGAGAAAAGAAAGAGGGGGAGAGGGGGGCAGAGTCACTTTTTTCAGCACAGGAAAAGGTTCGAAGGGCATTTAGACCAGCCACCTCGCGGCGCCTGGCCGCTCCCTGCCTGGGAGACCTGCGCCCAGCCCATTTTACATGCGACGATTTCGAGGGTAAAGGGAGCAAGTTTTTCCTCCTGGGCAAACTGCAGATTCTCCCCCTTACCCTTAAAAAATCCGCAGTTCGCCTTGTCTTGCAGGTACGTTGAACTATTCTCGTTATTATTGTAGAAATGCCTTTTTTTTTCTTTTTAAAAAGAAAATAAAAGAAAAACAGGAAGATCGAGTGAGCCCTACAGTTTGACCTCTTTGGGCCTGGGAAGAACAACCCAGGATGGGTTTCTGGGGACCTGAACAGGATTTTCAAAGCCTTTTCTGGATTACGGGGGAAGCGCTCTTAAAAGCAATCCAATGGTTTTTTCCCCAGGCTCCTCGGCAAAGGAAACTTCCTTCCTTCCCAATCTGGACTTTTTGCTTGTTTCGAAGTGTTTGGGGCCTTGAGTGCTCGAGAGTGTTGTTTTAGGTGAGAATACTTGTCAAACTCTTCCTTAGCGTGGCGCTTTGCTCCCGAATCAGACGGCGACAGCCAAACTTGTCCCCTCCTGTAGAGTAGGAAGCAGCCGGGCGCCGGGGCTGTTGGGGGTGCCAGGTGAGTTGGTGGCGGCTCGCCGCAGCGAGAGATGGGGTGCAGCGGGGCGTTTTAGAAGCTACTGGAGGACTGATGCACGTTTCTTCCCTCCCTCCCCCACCGGCCCTTTGCCCA